CCAAGAGGGTTTGTTACATGGTGCAGGCAAGCATCGGGAAGGAAATTACATGCTAACAGCAGTTTTTAAAAAACCTCCTTTTGCCACAACTCCTTTGATGCACACACATTCATGCACACACAGCAAATATGTATATCCATATTTGGGACTAATTCCTCTTTTCACGTCATACTATGACAGTGAAAGTGGAACGAAAGTATCAGCATTGCTAGTTGTGTTAGAATTCTGTAGTATAAGGAAGACCTGCAAACCAGCCAGAGGGACAAAAGTACAAAGTTTCAGGCCATTGTATGTTGGCTATTTGTTGCAGTGTGGTCGAAGTCCTAAAACAGACTTCCGTCTGGGAGCAAAAGTATACTACTCTGCCTTGCTGTTTGTGTCTCTCTTGCTCATATTCTATTCCTTGATGTTCTAAGGAAGAGAATAAAAGTGGGTGCTCTTTCTGGCCAATCTTCAAGGATAACCAGAGGCATAAGCTCACTTATCTTGGCACTCAACCCACACTGCTGTAATCAGCAGTTACTGGGCGTTGCCATTTCCTGGAAAAAAATGTAGTTCCGATTGGGGAAAGCACACTGTTTATGTGAGATAAACCCCTCTTAAAGCAATCATAAACATTTATTTCAAGTTATAATACATAAACGAACCACAAAGTAAAATTTAGATTGAGACTTTCATAAGCATTTCTACAGTAACTTCAAGTGTTCATCAGCAGTGTTTGTCCCGTTCCCACAATGCTTACAATGAGCATATAATATATAATGTATATTTCCTCTCTCTCTCTCTCTCTCTCTCTCTCTCTCTCTCTCTCTCTCTACACACACACAGAGCTTCAATTGAGAGGTGCTCCAGGCCCCCCTCCCCGAATTCTGAGCTACTATAAATCTTGCAACAAACCAAAAAAAGTTATTTATAATTAAATCCCTTACAGTTGTCACAAAATATGGAGAAAACCCTCAATATGGTTGTACTTTGGTTTGTATTTTGATCTATTAAAACATACCTTTTTTCTCATTTGAGAAATACTGGGACATTCCCACCACATGTGGGAATATATACTCCGTGCCACACAGTTCCTCCAGCATTTCTGAAATGAGTTTTGTTTATATATTTCATTTTTACCGAGGTTTGTTGTTCATTCATTCAGTCGTCTCCGACTCCGACCTCATGGCCCAGCCCACGCCAGAGCTCCGTCGGCTGTCACCACCCCCAGCTCCTTCAAGGTCAATCCAGTCACTTCAAGGATGCCATCTATCCATCATGCCCTTGGTTGGCCCCTCTTACTTTTTCCTTCCATTTCCCCAGCGTCTTCTCTACGCTTTCCT